AAAATTAACAAGGATATCCAGGACTTGAACCCAGATCTGGATCAAGCAAACCTAATAGACATCTACAGAACTCTCCACCCCAAATCCACAGAATACACATTCTTCTCAGTACCACATCACTCCTATTCTAAAACTGACCACATAATTGGAAGTAAATTACTCCTCAGCAAGTGCAAAAGAACGGAAATCATAACAAAGAGTCTCTCAGACCACAGTGCAATCAAATTACAACTCAGAATTCAGAAACTAACTCAGAACCACACAACTTCATGGAAACTGAACAACCGGCTCTTGAATGCTGACTGAATAAATAATGAAATGAAGGCAGAAATAAAGATGGTCTTCAAAACCAATGAGAACGAAGACACAAAGTACCAGAATCTCTGTGACACATTTAAAGCAGTGTCTAGAGGAAAATTTATAGCAATAAATGCCCACATGAGAAGCAAGGAAAGATCTAAAATTGACACACTATCATCAAAATTGAAAGAGCTAGAGGAGCAAGATCAAAAAAACTCAAAAGCTAGCTAGCAGAAGACAAGAAATAACTAAGATCAGAGCAGAACTGAAGGAGATAGAGACACAAAAAACTCTTCAAAAAAATCAATAAATCCAGAAGCTGGTTTTTTGAAAAGATCAACAAAATACAGACCTCTAGCCAGATTAATAAAAAAGAAAAGAGAGAATAACCAAATTGATGCAATAAAAAACGATAAAGGGGATATCACCACCAATACAGAAATACAAACTACCATCAGAGATTACTACAAACAACTATCTCTATGCATATAAACCAGTAAACCTGGAAGAAATGGATAAATTCCTGGACACTTCCACCCTCCCAAGCCTAACCCAGGAAGAAGTCAAAACCCTGAATAGACCAAAAACAAGGGCTGAAGTTGAGGCGGCAATTAAGAACCTACCAACCACAAAAAGCCCAGGTCTGGATGGGTTCACAGCCGAATTCTACCAGACATACAAAGAGGAGCTGGTACCACTTCTTCTGAAACTATTCCAAACAATCCAAAAAGAGAGACTTCTTCCCAAATCATTTTATGAGACCAACGCCATCCTGATACCAAAACCTGGCAGAGACTCAACAAAAAAAGAAAACTTCAGGTCAATATCCATGACGAACATAGATGCAAAAATCTTCAATAAAATCCTGGCAAACTGACTGCAACAGAATATAAAAAGGCTTATCCATCACAATCAAGTAGGCTTCATCCCAGGGATGCAAGGTTGTTTCAGCATACGCAAGTCTATAGCGTAATTCACCACATAAACAGAACCAAAGACAAAAACCACATGATTATCTCAATTGATACAGAGAAGGCCTTTGACAAAATTCAACAGCCTGTATGCTAAAAACTCTCAATAAACTATCCCCATCAAGCTACCTATGACCCTCTTCAAAGAACTAGAAAAAACTACCTTAAACTTCATATGGAACCAAAGGAGAGTCTGCATAGCCAAGAAAAGTCTAAGCAAAAAGAACAAGGCTGGAGGCATCATGCTACCTGACTTCGAACTATACTACAAGGCTACAGTAATCAAAACAACATGGTACTGGTACCAAAACAGAGATATAGACCAATGAACAGAAAAGAGGCCTTGGAAGCAATGCCACACATCTACAACCATCTGATCTTTGACAAACTGGACAAAAACAGCAATGGGGAAAGGATTCCCTGTTTAATAAATGATGTTGGGAAAACTGGCTAGCCATGTGCAGAAAGCAGAAACTGGACCTCTTCCTGACACCTTACACTAAAATTAACTCCAGATGGATTAAAGATTTAAACATAAGACCTAACACCATAAAAACCCTAGAAGAAAACCTAGGCAACACCATTCAGGACATAGGCATAGGCAAGGACTTCATGACTAAAACACCAAACGCATTGGCAACAAAAACCAAAATAGACAAATGGGACATAATTAAACTCCAGAGCTTCTGTACAGCAAAAGAAACAATCATTAGAGTGAATCAGCAACCAACAGAATGGGAAAAAATTTTTGCAAACTACCCATCTGACAAAGGGCTAATATCCAGAATCTACAAAGTACTAAAACAGATTTACAAGAAAAATACAAACAAACCCATTCAAAAGTGGGTGAAGGATATGAACAGACACTTTTCAAAAGAAGACATTTATGAGGCCAACAAACATGAAAAAATGCTCATCATCACTGGTCATTAGAGAAATGCAAATCAAAACCACATTGAGATACCATCTCACGCCAGTTAGAATGGTGATCATTAAAAAATCTGGAGACAACAGATGCTGGAGAGGATGTGGAGAAACAGGAACACTTTTACACTATTGGTGGGAGTGTAAATTAGTTCAAACATGTGCAAGACAGTGTGGCGATTCCTCAAGGACCTAGAAATAGAAATTCCATTTGACCCAGCAATCCCATTACTGGGTATATATCCAAAGGATTGTGAATCGTTCTATTATAAAGACACATGCACACGTATGTTCACTGCGGCACTGTTTACAATAGCAAACACCTGGAACCAATCCAAAGGCCCATCGATGACAGACTGGACAAGGAAAATGTGGCACATATACACCATGGAATACTATGCAGCCATAAAAAATGGTGAGTTTGTGTCCTTTGTAGGGACATGGATGAATGTGGAAACCATCATTCTCAGCAAACTGACACAAGAACAGAAAAACAATCACCACATTTTTTCACTCATAGGCAAGTGTTGAACAATGAGAACACATGCACACAGGGAGAGGAGCATCACATACTGGGGTCTGTTAGTGGGGAATAGGGGAGGGACAGTGGGGGGTAGGGAGGTTGGGGAGGGATTACATGAGGAGAAATGCCAGATATAGGTGATGGGGGGATGGAGGCAGCAAACCACATTGCCATGTAGGTATCTATGCAACAATCCTGCATGTTCTGCACATGTACCCCAAAACCTAAAGTGTAATAATAAAAAATATATAACATATATAATATATATCATATATAATACAGATATATATGTGATGACATGATCTTTCTTCTCCCCAAATTACCATTGTTTCTCTACCAATAAATGTCTTTCTGAGATAAAATATCTAACAGGAAGCTCAAAGACTTGGGAAATGTTTGATTTTTTATAGAATAAAACTTGTAAAAAGGTGTCTTCCAGCCTGAGCAACACAGTGAGACCGCCCCCCAAACTCTACTAAAAATTTAGAAATTAGCCAGGTATGGTAGCACACACATATAGTCTCAGCTACTCACTCAGCAGGCTGAGGCATGAGGATTGCTTCAGCCCAGGAGTTTGAGGCTGCAGTAAGCTAAGATTGCACTATTGCATTCCAGCCTGGGCAACAGAGCAACACCTTGTCCAAAGAAAAAGCATTATCTAGATAATAAAATTTTCTATTTGCCTTTGTATACATTTGTGATCTTAGTCAAGGCAGGGTTATCATAACATGTGCCTGGAATGTCAGACCGCAGTATAGTCTCCCAATAACATGACTGCTATTACTCTCTCTCCAAATATTCTCTCTCATGCTTTTACTTTCTGGTTCATACATTTCCATATAACTGTGCCCTCCGGGAAGACTACCTTGATCTCCAAAAGTTAACCAAACTGCCCTCTGCATACTGTTCTCTACTATACCGAGTTTTACAGTTACCATTCTCATCTTCAAAGTAATATGTTGATTTCCCTGACTATTTCCATCAGATTTCTCCACAGAAAGGAAAACCAGGGTCTTAACTGAGTCAGTATCTCCAAGGAACTGATTGGCATATAATTATCCTACATAATGAAGGGCTACCATACCTTCTTGACAAACAACGTTATTCTTCAAATCTTGTAATGCTTTCATTTCTTTGAAATAAAGTATCCCCTCCCACACTATATTGAGTATAAATTTTATTCTATCACCATTAGCTTTACCATAAACTAATCATATATACAAAGCCAATTAAGAAACAATGATACCTCTTTTAAAAAGGACTAGCACTTATCCTAAAGATACTGTGACACAAAAAACATTAGATCGCTAGGGAAGCTTTCAAATGCACATACACACACACACACACACACACACACACACACACACAGCCACGAGTGACTAGTCATTAATAAGAAGATTCCATTTTACAAGTGATTCCATGCTTTTAAATACATTTTATCGGCATGCAGGAAGGAGCAAATGTTTGATATATTTTTTTTAATTTAAATTGTGTTCATATTTATAAATTGTTTAAAAATAAAGAAATTAGACAAACCTAAGGTATATAAACAAACTTTTCTCTGTAGTTAGTTGCCAAAAGAAAAAATAAAAGACACATCAATTTAGAATTGGAAATTTACCCTTTAACTCTACTTGACTCCATTTATCACTGTTATTAAAAAAAAAAATTTTGTCAGTTTTTGCCACCTTAAAAATCAGATTTGTCAGTAACAAAGTCTCCTGCTTATTTGACATTGTGCTAAAGCTAAGTGTGAGAGGAAAAAATAGTCACTGAAGGCACAACCCCCAAAATTACAAGAATCACTGAGGGGAACTATGAACACATGGTAAATAATACAGTTACATGTTACACTTTAACGAAGTTTCAGGAATTCATTCAGGTGAGATTGTTTGCTCCAAGTTGCTCTTTCTCACACAACAGAGGCCTGCACACATGTGGGAGTTCTGTCGCACTTGCTAACCTCAGTCAGAACCTGCTAACAGGAAAGACCCTCAGTCCCATGTTCAGAAAGGATGCTTGTTTTTGGAGATCTTTAATCTCAACTGTCAGCACCTGACTGAAATAAACAAAACACCTTTGCTAAGGAAACAAATGTGTTGAAGGGATTTTACTAGATTAACCAAAACAAATTAAAATGACTTTGTGGTTGATAGAAAATGACAGGACTGAAGAACAGCACCAAGTGACAGCAGCTCAAGGGACAAAGGCACTGGACAGCTATTTTAGGTTTGCAATAGGGTGCTCAATAGCTGCTTAAAGAATGCAATAAATGTACTTACCAAATATTTCCCCTCCACTAGCATGTTCTGTCACCAGATAAATCATCCGTTCTGTCTCCATAACCTGGTGCAAAGGCAGGAAAGTGACAGACAGTGACACAAATGACAGGCTGATACAGGAAGAGAAACTAATGACTCCTCTTTTCTCATTTGAAATATTAATAACCACTATGGATTAAAGGAAATTTAAAACATTTTGAAGGAAACAAATATAATCGTTATTAAGAAGGGAAAAATAGATACTCTTCCAAGTTCTTAAAAGTAGGAAACATTCATTGCTTGAAAGAGAGCCTTCTGATGTTCCATGAGGTCTCTGCACTCTCTTAAGCTCCATAAAACTGACAGGCAAAGAAGTTGCCAAGAACCAAAACTTAAAACTTCAGATTCAACATCAAGCACTTGATGCACAAAAATCTCCCATCAAAAAAAAAAAAAAAAGAGGGGGGGAATCACATTAGAACTACACAGAAATCACATATGGCTTTCTTTGTTCAACAGAAATGACTACTTTTGCTTCCACTGCCCATTTATTTGAAAAAAGAGAACAGCAATTTAAAATATTCAACCTTCTTCTTTTTTTTTTTTTTTTTGAGACGGAGTCTCACTCTGTCACCCAGGCTGAAGTGCAGTGATGTGACCTCAGCTCACTGCAACCTCTGCCTCCTGGGATCTGGGATTACAAGCATGCACCACCAGGCCCAGCTAATTTTTTCTGTATTTTTAGTAAAGACAGGGTTTCACCAGGTTGGTCAGGCTGGTCTCAATTGGACCTCGATCCTCCTGCCTCAGCCTCCCAAAGTGCTAGGATTACGGGCGTGAGCGACCACGCCTGGCCAAAATATTCAACCTTTTAAAGTAACATAAAGTGATTTGTATCTTGTTTTGGTCCCTATGTTGCTCCTTTTTAAAATTCATTGTAGTATGCTGTCAGTCTGTTCTTCCTTTTCACATTTTCCATCAAACATTTTTAAACGTAATAATGACTATATACACTCATTATAAAACAAAAGATCAAAGGCTTTCCTCTTCCCAATCACTTCCATCTCAATCCCCAGAGGAACACTGTTCACTGCTTATTGTATATCCTTCTAGAACAGTGCTGTCCAATAGAAATATAATATGAACTGCATATATAATTTTAACTTTTCTAGAAGCCGCATTGGAAAAAGGAAAAGCTGAAGATAATTCTAATAATATTTTTTATTTACTCCAATATATCCAAAATATTATTTCAACAATTTTTTTTTAAATTATTAACTTTTAGTTTTACACTTAAATTAATTAAAATTAAATACACTTAAAAATTCAGTTCCAGCTGGGCAAGGTGGCGCATGTCTGTAGTCCCAGCATTTTGGGAGGCCGAGACAGGCAGATTACCAGAGGTCAGCAGTTTGAGACCAATCTGGTCAATGTGGTGAAACCCCATCTCTACCCAAAATACAAAAATTAGCTGGTCACAGTTGTGGGCACCTGTAATCCCAGGTACTCGGGAGGCTGAGGCAGGAGAATTGCTTGAACCTGGGAAGCAGAGGTTGCAGTGAGCTGAGACGGCGCCACTGTACTCCAGCCTGGGTGACAGAATGACTCCATCTCAAAAACAAAAAAAAATTCAGTTCCTCAGTCACTCTGGCCACATTTAATTACTCAACAGCCGAATGTGCTTAGTGACTACCATACTAAACAATACAGTTATAGACTTTCAGTACACTTCACAGTTAATTAATTCCTAGTTACTTTAGCTTTTTCTGCATTAACATCATATAACAGTATCATGTGTTATACAGATCTGTCTCTTATTTTTAATTGCTTCATAGTATTCCATTGTATGAGTACATACTAATTTAATTTTCCAATCTAATAGCTGTGTTGTTCTTTTTTATTCTTCCTTCTTTTTCCTTTTTAAAAACTCTATATATACTGATAACATAAGCCCATGTATTGCTTCTGAGCTCTCTCATGTTAATTTATATGACAGAAAGTAAATATATGCAGTTGTTTAGAAAAAAATGAAAGAAAAAAACAAATATCAGTTGTATATCTCTCCAAGCCTTTTATTGACTGCAAATATTATTTTATTATTAAACTTTTCAGGAGTTCAAAAACTGTTGTTTCCTATGCATTTTTGCTCACTCGATAAACCTGAGGCTGAGGAGAAGGACCTGAAAACTACCCTGATACCAAATCATGACAATTCACAAGCCATTCACGTTGCCAGCTCAGAGTCTCCCATTAACAATAGGCCAGGCACAGTAGCTCACACCTGTAATCCCAGCACTTTGGGAGGCCAAGGTGAGAGGATTGCTTGAGCCCAGGAGTTCGAGACCAGACCATAGTGGGACCTTGTCTCTGCTAAAAATCAAAATCATAAAAAAAAAAAAAAAAAAAAAAAAACAGAGTGGTGGGTGGCTGTAGTCCCAGGTACTTAGGAGGCTGAGTGGGAGGATTACTTCAGTGCAGGTGGTAAAGGCTGCAGTGAGCCATGTTGGTCCCACTGCACTCCAGCCTGTGTGACAGAGTGAGAACCTATCCATAAAAAATAAAAATAAGCTGGATGAAGCAGCTCACACCCAGCACTTTGGGACGTCAAGGTGGGCAGATCACTTGAGGTCAGGAGTTCAAGACCAGCCTGGCCAACATGTTGAAACCCTATCTCTACTAAAAATACAAAAATTAGCTCTGCGTGGTGACACATGCCTGTGATCCCAGCTACTTGGGAGGCTGAGGCAGGAGAGTCACTTGAACCCAGGAGGTGGAGGCTGCAGTGAGTGGAGATCATGCCACTGCACTCCAGCCTGGGCAACAGAGTGAGACTTTGTCTCAAAAATAAATAAACAAATACAATTTAAAAAAATTTAAAGCCTAGCTGCCAGAAAGCAAAATTAAAGCTTGAAAGAAGTCAATGCTCAAAGCCAGCACTGGACCTATGAAAACTCTCATAGGCTAATCTTGAGTAAGACAGGCAAACTTGCAGAATTCAGTTACAAAGGTAATACCCACAGGTCAGCCTCTTGAGAAAGGTCAGCCTAAACCCCACAATTATTTAAAGACGATTTATTTTAAAATGTAAGGTCAAGAAATGTATTCAGTCTATCAGGATAGGCAGGAAGCCGAGGTTAGTGACCTGCAAGCTCACAGATACAGGTCTTCAGGCAACACCAGGAAGCTTTCACAAGTTTGCTTGTGGGGCAGAACGTAGGTGTTGTTCAACATAATTTAGGCTGATAAATTTCAACAGGTCTGCTCCTGTTGACCTAATTTCATTATGTGAGCAGCTGATGCCAGGGAAGAGCTCTAATGCTGTAGTTTTAACCACGCATATTAACATCACAACATATTTTCTTTTCCATAAAATTAATAGGGTATGAAAGCTTGCACATGGTGCCTTGGGTATACTTTCTCCACTCTTACACATGGTCCTATGTCTGGGCCAGTAACCATTTACTGCAGACAAACAGCAGCAAATGAACTGAGCGGGTGGCCACTTCCTTCAGAACTAAGAGACGGCTGTTCTGACAGAAAGCAGCAAGTAGAGTTGGGCCCATGCAGAGGCAAAGTTCTCAGCTGCCAACACACTGCAATTTGAGAAGCATCCTGAAGCCCCACCTCTCCCAAAATATCTCTTCCACCAGCCCACTAAGGCAAAATCCTCTCCTCCTATCCCATTTGAAATTCCAGCCATCAGATTTACTGCTTTTATAGTTAGGCTAGGGAATCATTTTGATGATGGCATGAAATATGCATGTTTCCTGGGTAGACAAAAAAAAAAACTAAAATAGAAATCTCTCCTATTGGAGAGATCTGGTCTCTTGATTATCAAAATAATTAACTACTACCTTGGAAAACTAAGTCAGGATCCTATTAGAATAGAAAAGAAGTAGGCTCTGATTGATGCAAGAAGCAATACTGAAAATATCCTTTGCCATCACAATTTATAACATGATCACAGAAACTAGTATTCAAATAATGCTGTAAAAAAAAATGTTACATTCATCTCTAACTTTTCACCTCTCTAAATTCTCTTCTTTTTTGGTTTCCCATCCTGTTTTAGAATTCTGAATGAAATAAAATAAATTCTCATCTTCTGAATTAATCTTTTTTTTCAGTTCTTGCTAAGAATGGCATCAAATTTTAAAGAACAAATTAAAAAGACCTACTTGGGTAAGAAAAACTTACTAGTAAATGGCCAGGGGAAGCCTGAGGATACTAAGTGCTGAGTGGGCAAACAGAAGGGTGGGAAACATAGTAGGATTAACATAGAAACAAAAAATGTTCACCCACCCACATTTCTTCAAAGGGAGCCATACATACACTATCCTGGGTTTTCTGCAGCGACCTGCTATACACTAATGAGCCTACCTGGTAGAGCCTGATGATATGGGGATGGCAAAGCATCTTCATGATTTGAACTTCCCGGAAAATCTTCTTCAAGTTTTCTTCATCCAGCTGGGTCTTATCTATGATCTTGATAGCAACCTGACAACAAAGGAAAAAGTTTACTCTGGTGCATTATTAAAAGCAGTTTACTAAGAAAAATTAGATTCATTTTAAAACATTACATTCCATAAAATATAAGCTGCCAGTATTTTGTTTACAGAATGTCAATGAGGAAAATTAATTTACCCTCTTTAAGGATAGGAAATGGATTCCTAGCAAGTTGGTCTCAAAGGAACAGACTCCAAAAGCTAATGGGTCTTCTGTCATTGCTTAAATTGCTTATTAAAATCCTATGACAAAATACTTCATTACTCCACAGACGTGGTTATGGTCTGGGTTAAATCATGTTTCAGGGCAGAGTGGTATGTAGGGCCTCTCATTAAGAAGCTTGCCTTAAATAAAAGAAAATTTTTAAAAGGCAAGAAGCTTCTAGCTGTAAGTACATAGCGTCTTACCAAGGTTCTATAAGAAGTTTCACAGGGGTTTTTTACATCTCACCAGGTGCTTGTAGAACTCAGTAATAGTAGTAGCAGGGACGGTGGTGGCAGAAGCAGTAGCAGCAGCTACCATATACCGAATGTTTACTATGGACCAGGCATAATTCTTAGTGCTTTGCAAGTACTATCTCATTTAAACCTCCTAACACCCACATTATCATTAACCTTGTTTTATAAATATAGAAACTGAGGCACACAGAGATTAAGTAATTAACCCAAGGTTAAGTAATTTACAACTAGCATGTGACAGATGCAGGACTGAACTCTAGGTAGCTTGGCTTTAGAATCAAAATCTTAATAATGTTATAAGAATCTGAAGATCGCTGGGTGCAGTGGCACACACCTGTAATCCCAGCACTTTGGGAGGCTGAGACGGGCGGATCACGAGGTCAGGAGATCGAGAACATCCTGGCTAACATGGTGAAACCCCGTCTCTACTAAAAATTCAAAAAATTAGCCAGGCGTGGTGGCACATGCCCATAGTCCCAGCTACCCTGGAGGCTGAGGCAGGAGAATCACTTGAACCTGGGAGGTGGAGGTTGCAGTAAGCCAAGATGGAGCCACTGCACTCCAGCCTAGGCAACAGGGAGAAACTCTGTCTCTCAAAAAAAAAAAAAAAGGCATCTGAAGATCTTTCTTTAGCATATAGGCACTACATCATAAAACATATCTTTCCAATGTGTCCCTTTTTAATAAGATACTCATCAGCAAATACATTTTAATGCAGAATGAAAGATGAAGGACTTTTAAAAATCTACTAAATCTAAACTTCCTCAGTGAAATACTTAAAAATATTTGTGTTATTCCAAAATATGTCTATATCTCAGTTTCAATTACTTAATCAGTATGGAAGCAATACTGGTTCGATGAAGAGTCTAGACTAGTCGAACTTTAGTCCTCTCCAAATCTTAAAATTCTAAGATTCTATGCACCGGAGAGGTAAAGGAAATGTATACAGTACTTACTGAGGAAAAAAACAGGGAAACAAAATTTCAACAGTAAAAACGTTTAGCTCAGAGAAATGAAGACTGTTTGGAGCCATACTTGGCAGATTATTCAGATGTATAAATGGCTGGCATAAAAGTAACTTTATTTGAATCTGTTTCAGGTGTTAGAATGAGGACTCATGGGAGAAAAGCACAGGGAGAAAATTTCAGCTGTACTCCAAGAGTATTCGAGCCCTGCCTAATGAGGGCATATGATGAAACGAGCTACGTGTGGCTGGAGCTACAAGGGTTAATCAGACACAGCCTAAACTTCAAGGAGATCACAGTCTAATAAGGAAAAAAGATGTGTGGAACTGAAAACAATACAGCATTGGAAGTGCAATCAATGGAGCTAGTACCAGGTATAATAATAGAATAGAGGATGCCGAATGACCTTCACCTATAGGAGAAGAGGTAGAAAAGTTTGGAAAAGACTTCACAAAGAAAGCAGAATTTCACTACAGAGAGAAGTGGAACAGGCAGAGAAGAAGGTAGAGAATTTAATGAGAATCTCATCAGCTGCCTGGTCTTTTATAAGAAGTCTTAGACCATATAACTCTTGACCACTTGCATTTCCACTTCTCATTACTGCGCCAGATCACATACAAGACCATAACACCACAACTGGTCTAGCATCTGCTCCTGCTTCTCTCAGGACAGCTCCCAAAACAAACAAACAAACAAAAACCGTGGTACACAATGTCTCTTTCGAGAACAAATTGCCTGATCTTAATAGTCATTATTAATACAATCTTACATGTGAATGGCACCTTGTAGTGTACAGAATGCTTTCATAAATATAACAAGCTGAGAAACTTGGAGACATATACCCATAGCAGAGCTGCCAAACAGCTATAATCCCAGCATTTTGGGAGACCAAGGCAGGCAGACTGATTGAGTCCAGGAGTTCAGGACCACCTGGGCAACATGGTGAAACCCCATCTCTACTAAAAAAGATTTTTTTTAATTAGATGAGCATGGTAGCATGTGCCCACAGTCCTAGCTACTCAGGAGGCTGAGGTGGAAAAATAGTTGGATCCCGGGAGACTGAAGTTGCAGTGAGCTATGATCGTGCCAGCAGCAGAATGAGAGCCTGTCTCAGAAGAAAAAAAATAACTTCCAAACAGGTGTGTTGGAAATGGGTTACAAGTGATAACGGATCACCTCCAATCTCAACTTTCTGTGCATGCCATGATGTGCAAAAGGTGGAATTTATTTATCTTAATAACAGAGGGCATCAACTGTCTAGGGCCTGTGGCTGAAATCTTCCACCTCTACCCACCCCCTACTGATAGATCGCATGTACAATAAAACTGGGGAAAGGAGAGGGGCCTTCAAGGTTAACTTATGAAATTTTTGTACTCTTTCACCTCCAAGAGAGTACTGGGTCACACGGATTCATAGAGTCAGGCCTCCTTGATTCACAAGACACTCACTCTAAATTTCATTTGTATTCTGAAGCAACAGGACCTTTGTTATGGTAAACATAGATTCTGTGGCTCCCAGTAAGCCACACAATCACATGGGTAAATAACAATAGAGTGTATTAAATTCATTTCGGACTTACCATATTTTCAACTTTTAATGGGTTTACTGGGACATAATCCATCATAAGTCAAGAAATATCTGTACTAGCAATAATGCCTTTTGTTGACTATAGTTAACAATCATTTATTACATATTTCAAAATGGCTGAAGGAGAAGGTTTGAAATGCCACCAACACAAGGAAATGATAAATCTTTGGACTAATGGATATCCTAATTACCCTGATTTGATCAGGGTATGCATGTAGCAAAATATCAAATGTACCCCATAAATATGTACAATAATAAATAATAAATACATACAAAAATTTTAAAGGGAAATGTATCAATCTCTTCAGGAAAAACTGCATTGAATATAATCTGTTCTTAGAAGGCACGTACAAAGAAGTTTTAATAGATTAAAACATCAAACTCCTGTCTACTCTTCAGTGAGAGTTAAGATTCCAGAAGACATTGAAAAGTGAAGCTCTGAGCCAGGCATGGTGGCTCACGCCTGTAATTCCAACACTTTGGGAGTTCAGGGCAGGAGAATGCCTTGAGGCCAGGAGTTCAAGACCAGCCTGGACAACACAGTGAGACCTCATCTCTATAAAAAATTAAAAAATAGCCAGGTGTGGTAGTGCGTACCTATAGTCCCAGTCACTCAGAAGGCTGAGGCAGAAGGATTGCATGAGCCTAGGCCTATCACTTGAGCCTAGCAAGGCTGCAGTGAGCCATGATTCTGCCACTGTACTGCAGTCTGTGCAACAGAATGAGATCCTTTCTCCAAAAAACTGCCTAGCAATTGAATGTAGCATTGAAAACAAGGACTCTGAAATCAAGCTACTTAGATTCAAAATCTTGGAACTATCCCTCAATGTATAACCTGGAACAGGTTATTTAACTTTCCTATGGCTCCATATTTGGAAAACGTGGGCAACAATTGAACTTACTTTAAAGGGATGCTGGGGATTAACTAAGCTAATACATGCTTAATATAATGCCTGGCACATAGTAAACAGACAATATATGTTAATTACAGGTACTGCTGCTGTTATTTTATTTTCTTCTGGAATCAAGCCTTCAACTTCAGGCATTACTTGGCAAGGATTAGATTTGCTTCACAAAGCAACATAATCCTGGATCTGAAACACATCAATTCCTTATTCGAGGGGCAAATTGAGGGACCAAGAAGCAAAATAGCTAACAATTTGTGGGCAGCATTCAGAACCAACTGGCTGCTGCCAGCTAATGTGGGAAGAACATGGAAAGAACAGAGCTGGAAAAAAACAAACGCGTTCCATTCAGGAAAGTCACACAGAGCCATAGGATGGAATCCAACGCAAGACCTGACCCTGACGGCTGTGCCAGAGAGACAGTGGTCTACTTCTTCACAGCCTGCCAGGCTCCCCTTGTTAACCCGACCTACTAGCTAACACCTAAGAGTAGGGCACTTAGTGCTGCTTGGCAATGGCATAACTGCCTGATAAGACCACTTAACAGAGAAGGGAACTCAGCTCCTACCTTAGCTGCAAACTGGAAAGTGGGAGTTTTCTAAAAAGCAGAAAAATAAAGTTGGAATAGAGAAACTGCAAAGTCAGACAGCAGGTGGCTGGCACACAGGTATAATTATCTTGAGAATACTTAAACAGATAAATAAGTATGAGTTTCACAGCTACAGATTACTGAAGGCTATATAATAAAGGTTTTGGTGTAAGGTACACACCAGTTGCTTGAAAAATTGAATGTGTCCACAACAAAGATAAATTAGTAAGTAAAGAAAAGATAAACTCTCAAAGAATGTTTTTATATTGGGGTTGAAAATATATAAATCTCCTGGCCGGGCGCAGTGGCTCACTCCTGTAATCCCAGGACTTTGGGAGGCCAAGGTGAGCAGATCACAAGGTCAGGAGTTCGAGACCAGCCTGGCCAACATAGTGAAACCCCGTCTCTACTAAAAATACAAAAATTAGCCGAGTGTGGTGGCACATGCCTGTAATCCCAGCTACTCGGGAGACTGAAGGAGGAGAAT